ACAATAGTAGTGATCATCTTAAATAAATGTCAACGGGTAGAAAGCCTCACATCACATGCGCCTACCTTATGCTATGAGCCAGGACTGGGCTGGGCTAGGGGTGTCAATTGGATTGGATTTGGTCCAATTCGATCCAGTCTAATGTGAGTTCTTTATAAATGGATCAGGTCCAATTCAATCTAATAAATGTTTTGGACTAATTTGGATCGATCTAATTCAATATTTGAACCGTCTGATCTGTTCAAATTCATTTTGATTTAGATTGATCTTAATCAAATTCAGTCCATTGGCATATATATTCTTATCTTATATCAATAGGCTAGATATCAACTTAATCCAATTCAATCCAATATAAATTTGTTACGACCAGGTCTAATCCAATCTAATAAATATTTTAGACCGAATTGATCCAATCCAATATGCCTTGTTGGTTCATCCAAATTAATTTTAGACTGGATGGGATCCAATCCAAAACCGATCCATTGACACACTTAACTGGACCAACCTCAACCTCCGTTTAGGGCTGCAAATGGATGGGCCACCGACTATCCCGGCCTCTCAGGGCCCAAATTCAGTCCAGGCTAAAATCACCATGTTAGTATGTTGTGGAGAATAGAGCAATTCAAGGAGAGGTAGCAGTAGCAGGATATGATCTCCTCGTATCGCTCGCTGTTCACACACACTCACACCTATTAAGTTAATTGCACACATTTTCAATGTTTTTTCTTCTTATGATAATAAGGTGCATGTGGCAGCCGGGGGAGAATACCTGGTCAAAATAACCTGCAGCCAAGCAGCTGTCCATTCGAATAACCTAACATCAAAGGTGAAACCCAATACCATGGCAGCAGCAGCTCAGCGCATTGAGAGTGCCTCAGTGCCTCACGGAACACTGAAAATTGCATGGAATTAATAAATGCATGATTGACATTTCACCTAACGATCGATGTTATTAGCTTCCTGCTTGTCATTGAAGAAGTTTGGGTTGCGACGTCCACGTGGGCATACGAAGAACTCAAGCGTAGGGTGTGGAGGATTCTTAATCAACCCAATTAATTCCTGAACGCACTCTCCAATCAGTCGGCCTTTTTGCTTTTAG